AGAGGCTGTGGACAGCTTCACGGTGCTGCGCTCAATCCATTTCACCACTGGGGAGGCCCTATTGGTTGATATAACTTGTGTAAATCTACAATTATTTCTATAAACAAGTTACTTAAATATATAAAATGAAATAAAATACCTTCTTAGCACCTACTACATGCTACTGTTTTAAATTCTAAATATGTGTAAGTGAACCAAAAAGACAAAACCAGTAATTGATGGAGCTAACCTCATCAGAGAAGGAAAGACACAAAAGGATAGGGCAAAGGAATTAAATGGAGGGAGGACATTGTGGTGCAAGTAAAATTGGATGATCAGAAAAGTCCTCATTGAGATGACATTGAAGGAAAACTTCAAGGAAGAGCAGGAATATGATATGTGCACACGTAGCACATACATATAGCAAGTTTCTCTATCCATACATTTTGCTATAACTGCTGGATGGTCAGTTAATAGAAATCATTCTGTATGAGAACTTTCTAGAAATCAGCCTTTAATAAAGACTGATTCTGTCTTAAAAGCCCAGACTCCCAATATAACCAGTGTTCTCTTTAGAGAAAGCAATTACAAATCACTAATTCTGTCAAAGAACCTATATTTATTGTTGATTAATATGTAGGGCAGATACCACTGTTTAATGGTATCCTCTGGAAAACATAAACATCATTAAGAAAAATATAAATGTCATAAAGTATTAGAAAAAGAAATATGCCCTTTTATTTGTTAATTTGAATTCATATGACCATTCATTCCAAAATAGCAATAATATTGATTGCATGCACAGAAAATAATGAGAAGTCCTTGATGTTTCATAAATGTTTGAGCAAAACTACTGTAATTCCCAGTGAAATGTAGGAGAACTTGACAACCACTCCCCTCCCCATGAGTTGAACAAAGCTCCAGGGTTTAACAAGAGTTAGCAATTTAGCACACGTGACAGACGTTATTAAAGTTTTTTGCAGTAAGATTACAGATAATTTAATTTAAAGGCAAACTGGAATATCAAGTAGTAAGGACCAGAGGCCATAGGGTGGGGGGTGACTCCAGAATAATGGGCCTTGTTAAGTAAGTTACAGAGGAAAAAAGGACAGGCTCATTCCAAGATGGATTTCTCCTAATTGTATTTTGGAAGATTTTATTGTTCTGGCCAGCTCTTTAAAAAGTCCAACTCCAAGAAAAATAAATCTTAAATACACTTGGATTACCCTCACTGTAAATTAGGCTGGACAAATAAACACAACTGACTGATTAAAGAAAGAAGTTTGGCTTCCCTTCAAGGAAGCAAGGATCAGTGACTCCTGATAAGACTTGTCACGATGGAATTTTGCCCAAAACGCTGTTCCTCTCAATACATCTCAGTGTATTCTGTGTGCCTCAGTTGGAACAGACATTGTGATGCTTTTCAAATTGTCACAAGTTGCAAAATTAAACATGTGCAGCTTAAAAATAGCACACCATGGGGCTGCAGAGAAAAGCAGAGCAAAGCCTTACGGCAAAGTCACAGGTTTTAAAAGTGGGTCTTGAAAAATATCAGACTAACTAGTGTCCATTACAAAGGAAAATCCCAATGCTTGTCTATTTCTACTCCAGAAACATTGCTATTTCCCACTTTCAATGAGTAAAGGTCATGCCAACATGAAAGTAATGTTTGCAACAACATCAGTAACAACTTTGTGAATAAAAAGCAAGTCAAAATGAAATCTACTGTGAGACGTCCTCTTTAAGGGAGTCTCTATATCAACCAAAAAAAATAGTATTCTAGATAATGGCTACACAATGCAATTACACAGGTCTTCTACCTTAATTTAATATCATCCTGTACTACTAAAACGATGGATGGATATCAGAATTGTGTATCCCATTAGTATGAAGAAGGTGAGACAAGATGGACAAATATTTACCTTTACACAGTTTCACAGAATTACCTATTTAAAACAAATTATGAAGTTTAAAAAAATTCTGGAGGGCTGGAGAAGTGATTTTTGTTCTCCCTAAAGGATACAGTTCTGGCTATCTTCTATGACATATGATACGAACTACAGTTTTTCTTCCAAGTGTTCAGAGATATGCAAAAAATATCTGTGACTTAAGTGTATGTTTTTGGGAATGATTTTATGGGAAGGAGCTGAAGGTTCTTCAGTGGGGCTCCCCCATCTGGAGCACTACCTCATGGCCCTATTCATGGTATGAGTCCTGGGGACAGATGCTTTTCACTGATGGAATGTCATGTTCTGTACGTAAAAGAAGACAAAAACCCACTGGAAGCCCTGGCAAGCAGACTCGTGGCTGAGACCATGGGCATGAGGACTGGTTTCCAAGTCATCACCCAGAACTTCCAGTGCTGTCCTTGAGATGATGCAGGTTCCAGTTGCCATTATCACATAGAGCTCCTCCTTGATTATGACCCAAACAGGTATCTGATAAGTCCCAGAACCCAAGTCTAAAAAAGGTGTCCTAAAGAAGCTTACATTAACTTATTTTTCTCTGTGAAAGAATTCCTCTCCATATTCTGGGAGCCATATGTAGAAAAAGAAACAGGGGTTCTAATTTAGTACTGAATTCAACGTGCTAGTATCACGTATGTAATAAAATGTCAGGTCATGTAACTTTACATACTCCTTTTACTCAGCTACTAGATAACTTTTCAATCTTTTGCATGAGAAAAGGTTGAGATTAATGGCAATATTACAGCAAATCCCACCATTACACAGCATTTTTTTATATTTCCATATGTATATTTTTTTTTTCTTTATTGAAACTCCTGGAGCTTATTCACTTCAATTTTATCTACACTCCTACCCAGTCTTTCTCAAAGTATGATCTTTGGCCTATTTGTATCAAAACTACCAGGAACACCTGCCAAAATGCCATTTCTCAAATAGTCTTCAACATGCAGACACAGAATCACTACGTAAGGGGCAAGGAAACTTAATTATCTCCAGAGTTCTCAAAAACACAGGGTCTTGGTAATCAAAGCGACCTGAGTCATCTTGGAATGAAAAATCAAAGAAAGTCCAAATTGCAATTTGAAGATGATGCAAAATTATGGTTCTCTAACAATAATCCACCTGACATTTCAGTCTAAAGCCACCTGCAATCTCCAGAGCACAGGGATGCAGTCTTAGAGATGCATCCTGTATTCCATTTCAAAATAAATCACAAGTGAGTCAAGGAAGCTGCATTTTCAGATTTATCAAAGGCACTCAAAGGGTAGGTTTAGAACAATCAGGTCACTCATTTGGCTTCAACGAAAGTCATTCACTAACAGTAAGCAGCCCTGCCATACCCATTCAAATCTCATGGACACACACAGACTTGGTGACATGGCTTTCTTACATTTTATTAGCAGGGCTAATGAATGTAAAAACAATCAGGCCCTCTACGCAACTTAAACTTCAGGCTTCAACCTGCTAATTCTTTTACCTCACTCTATTCCATATTTTGAAGACAAGTTTTTCTTTTTTCACTTATCATATTACCTATGCAGCTTGGGTAACAGGAGGAAGTCAAGCTTACCAATTCTGCCTGTGCTTTGTTTTGTAAGGAGAGGCACAGAACTTTCGGTCTCATTCTCTTATGAGGTATGATCTCAGAAAAGAGAATATAGAATCTAAGGTTATCTAAGTGATGGGCAGCATATAATAAAAAAGAATTAAGAGAAGCAATAAATATGTTAACCTTCCTACCCCCTACCTGACATATTACAGATAATGTGTTGACTCAGGAAATTTTTATTGAGTTCCTATTACTTATGAGGCAAAGGTTGGGAATTAAGTTTAGATAATATTAAGGTAGAGACTGAGCATCTGGAGATGCTGTTCTAGCATTCAGCAGGAAGGTCAAGTTTGAAGGTCACATGTAGAAGCCATCCGCGAAGACATGACAGTTGAAGTTGAATATGGATGAAACCCCTCAAGAAGATTGACATGACCTACAAGCTATTATACTGTCTCCGTTTAAATTACTTTGCTCTGTTTTTCTTTCAAGATCAACTATCTTGCACTATTTATCACAAGAGATTTTTTAAAAGCTGCAAACTTTATAAAAATCAAAGAAGTTGAAAGAAAAATAAACTCCGTAAGAAGTAACCATGATACTAAACCTGAATTACTCTCAATTTTTTCAACAACAAAAAAAGGATTTTCTAGCCATGTAAATAGCTGTAAGTATTAGACACACAATGGCATTAGATAATCACTGAAACATTCTATTTTTAAAGATTTATTTTATTTATACAAGAACCGGGGTACAGGCCAGATGCGCGGGAGGGTGAGAGGATTCACCAGAGACAGAGCGGGGAGCAGAACAGGCAGACTGATGAAATACACTGCTGAGGGGAGCAGTGGGCGAGACAGGAGAGGTCTGCTCACCATGTGGGTTGCTTTGAGGTCGGCGGGGATCAAACCAGTGCTGCAAAGGCTACGGACAGCTTCACAGCGCTCCACTCAACCGCCTGCGCCAACAGGAAGGCCCAATTACTGAAACATATTTACTCAGTGATATACATCAAGTTATGATTCTCTTTTGTGTGAATAATCCCTTTTGCAAAACTCTTGCTAAAGATTCCATTGATGCTTTGGTAACTGCACTAATGTCGTGGGCCAAATACCAAAAATTACATGTTCTAATCTTGCAGCTAAGAATCACGTCCATCCAACTATGATCACCAACACAGGCAACTTCCAGATTAAGCGGCACAGAAGCACACATGTGGGCATGTCATGCAGAAAAATGAAGCAATGTAACAGCAACAAAACGCAACTGCCTTTCTCCCCAAACAATGCATTTTTTTTAACTCATAAAGCAAAAATTAGATTATGCTGAAAATAAAGACTTCTTTGAGACTTTGCCTCACACTTCTCTATTCAGTTTCGACTAGCTAAAGGAGAAGAACTCCTCTGTGCCTTCTGAATGTCCTTGAGTGCACCCTAAGGATTCATTTCCAAACAGCAATCTGAGGACTGCACACTGCACACGCGCCCTAGGAGTCTGCTGCTTACCCCCTCATCAGAGCAGCCTGATTAAATATTCAGGATCCTGCCTTGGTGGTGCAGAGCAAAGTAATGCAGGGTTCTGACCTTCTCCAGGAAAATCAGTCAGGGAACAAATGTGTGACAACCGGTGACACAGACTACGTGCTGCAACCGACAACCACCTAGTACAGTTTCCATGTCACATCTCGCCAGCGTGGTAACACACTTTGAAGCTCTCACGCATGCTGTAAATTGAGACCCATCTATAGCTGAACCCTTGGCTCCAGGTGGTCTTGTAGCTAGTGTGCCAGGGGGAGGCTGTGGATTGAGGCCTGGATGGTGAGGCAGTATTGTCATCTGGCTCCCTTAAGGACCAAAGGTGTGCAAACTGTCTCCAGACTCAATTTTCCGACCTGTAAAATGAGGATATTGGATTAAACAACTCTTGCCTTCTTTTGGCAACTCTAACAAATTAATGTTGACACAAGGAGCTCTGAATGTATTTGTTTAAATGACCATATAATCACCCACAGTGTGGACGGGGTTCAGTTTATCCACCCATACACCTGCTGATTGGTGTTCAGGCTGGCTTCAGTCATCCTGCTGCCATCAACAACACTGCAGTGACTAGCCCATACATACATTCTGGTGAGATGGGACTTTGATTTCCACAGGTTTGTGTCATTTACTTGGAGGTGTGCTTACTACATATTGTTAAGTGAGAAAGCATGCTACAATGACATGCATATATTTTTGTGAAATAAAACATTCCCTGTATGTGCACATTTCATTTCCAAAAAATGGGAATCTACCTCATTGCAAGAAAATAACAGACGATTTGGGAAAAAGGTTACAGATGGCAAGGTTATGTAATGCTATATGCCCAAGACCTATATCACACTATCCACAATTATTCCTTCAATAAAATCATCAAGAGAGACTGCAACAAAATGGAATATCTGATAACACTAACATTTAGAACATAAAACTATAAAATTTATGAAAATATGGTAACTATGTATCTATGAGAAAAATATAAAAACTTAAAGAAAGCTTTAATTTCATCAAGGGATTGGAAATGTAGATAACTTTTTTACTAGAATTGCTTCTGCTACTTTCTTATCATTTTTGGAGAAAAGTAATATATAGACAAAAGGGAAAATATGAGTTAGTAATATTAATTCCTTAGGAGGGTCTATCTCTGTAAAAAATAAGTGACATCTAATTCTTGAACATTCTCTATGCCCAGAGGATCCTGGTGTTACTGAGTTATGTGATCCTTATAAGAACCTTTTGAAGTCTTCTTTTCCCCAAGGAAGGATGGCAAAATCTGTACTAAGAAAGGTGAACTAACTCTCCTAAATTTGTTGAGGTGTTAAAAGTCACATATTAAATCTAAGTTTGATTTATTCCTCAAGCTCCTAGAGAAAAAAAATGTTGATGACATAAATGATTTACCCCAATCTATCTAGTATAAACCATATTCATCCAGTATAATATTCTTGAGATGATTAACCCCTTGACTCTTAACATGCATGGATGGTAGTCAATTATGACTATGGTTTCAATAGCTCCTGGTGGCAATTTCTCACTCATAGAGATGAGGTGGTGTCCTCACCCTTCCAGGGCGTACTGACCTCTTTACAGTCTCCCATGGCACTTCCCCGCCCCCTTCCCACCCTCTGTTCTTTGTGAGACCTCAGCAGTGAGCCCTTCATTATACTGGCAGTCCAGGACATAGATGGAGATCACAGAAGGGAAGAGAGAGAGAATGAAGGAAAGGGAGGAAGCAAGGACAAATTAAGAAGTCATCCACAGGGACAGACAAGAGAGTTGGAGGAGATAAGGAGGGAAGGGTCAAGAAGTGTTTGGGGAATAAGGCAAGAAAATAAAATAGAAAGGCAAATGAGGAATAGAAGAGAGGAGGGGAAAGGGAGAAAAAGAAAGAGAAATCAGATTATGATTTGGTTGCTCTGGCACACCAATATGCAGGATTCTGAGAGATGTCTCTCCCAAACCCCTCAAGTTCCTTTCCCATTCTCAGTGCATTTTCTCTGAGATAAAGGAGAATTAACAGAGGACATTCTCTGACCTACAGCTTTTACTTGTTAACTTATTTTTTATAATTGTATTGCTGTAACATTGCACTATTAACACTGTAAATTTCATGTGTGCATCATTATAAATTGACATCCATATACACTACATTAACTTTACCAGTAAGAGTCCAATTAATATTACCTATGATTAATAATTCAAAATTACCTATAAAAGGTATAGTGAATTTTCATCATCTGTCCTTTTAACACGTTTTATTTTATAGTACTATGTGAGTGCTGCCTTATCTGTTGCCAAACTATATTTTAGGAGAATGGATAAAAGGCTAGCATTCTTCTTAGTGAACTGGAACGAAATCATTTCTATTCCATTTTTGCTCTTTTGTCTTGATACAACTTGAGATGGTGTATCTTTGCCATTTCTGCTACAAGATAAATTATTTTCAATTCAGTTTAATAAATGTGAACTGGAGTCTTGTGGCTTTCCTTATATCAAGACCAAGAAGTAAAAGAATTATGCCTGATCTCAAATTTGTATAGGACTACAAATGCCAAGGGTGAGGAGCATCATCAAAAAAGTACTAACTGGAAAAATTATTCCATAAACATTTGCTTTCTCTTGAAAAGATCTACCATTTGCATGAGATGGTTTTCTTTTTTTTTTTTTTGATACCATAATTGCAAAATATTCCACTTGACTATGACATTATTCATTCATTCATTCAAACATTTATTAAGGAAGGAACTATAAAATCAGGTTACTTTGATACAACATATCTGATTTCTTTTAGTTCTGCATTAAACTAAAGACACCTGGGGTCTATGTAACTGGACGGCATTAGTGTGAAACACTTATTCATACAGCCGTGTGAAAGGTTCTTCTGTAATAATCTCAGCTTTCTGAGAAGGATCGAAAGCAGAAACTAAGTCAAATCATCCTAAGTCAGCATTGTCAGTCATGGAGATACTGATTTTATTTAATATCAAAAATAGTTCAGTCTATATATGGAGGCAATAGAAGGATCTTGAACTTCTAATAAGAGACAGAAACTGCTGCTTCCTTGAAGCCCTATACGGAGTCATATTAGAATAGTGAGTCAATTGTGCATCACATCTGCCACCTCCCAGTCTTTTTAACATTTAAATTCCTTCACCTCTAACATTGGTCCTGACTCACCCATGCAATCCTTAAATAGCTTTGTTAATGAAGCAAAGGGATCATGATGAGGCATTTCTTTTTTTTAAGATTTATCTGTTTATGCATACAAGCACTGGGGTGCAGGCCAAATGTGCAGGGGGTGAGAGAATTCACCAGAGGCAGAATGGGGAGCAGAACAGGCAGATCTACTGAAATACACTGCTGAGGGGAGCAGCGGGCACAAAAGGAGAGGTCTGCTCTGCCATGTGGGTAGCTCGCTGGCGAGGGATGGAACTCCTGATGCAGAAGCTGGTGACAGCTTGATAGAACCGAAACTTTAACCTCTGTGCCACCAGAAAGGCACCTGATGGGACATTTCTGCATCTCAGCTACTACAGTGATTTGTCTCTCTGGTGTGAACTATATGCACTATTTAAAGTACAATGTTAATATACATCTTTTTTTCTATTTGAAACATCATTTTTGTATTTAAATATATATACACATCATTTTCTATTTGACAAAAAAAGTTTGGTACAAAGAAAATTAGAAGAATTGTTTAAGAAGTCTCCTCTCCAATCCACTACAGGTGGTAAGGGAAGTTCTTGTAATGGGGCAATTTGTCTACTGTCTTTCCAAATGTAAAACTACCACACTGGAGGGCCTCCCCAGTGGCGCAGCAGTTGAGCGCTGGGCTGCGAAGCCGCCCACAGCCTCTGCAGCGCCGGTTCGCTCCCCGGCCGCCAGCAAGGGTTCTACATGGCGCGCAGACCTCTCCTGCCGTGCCCGCTGCTCCCCTCAGCAGTGTATTTCATCGGTCTGCCTGTTCTGTTCCTCGCTCTGGCTCTGGTGAATTCTCTCACCCTCCAGTGCTTCTGACTGTACCCAGTGCTTGTATAAATAAATAAATAAATCTTAAAAAAAAAGAGAGAGAGAAAGCCAGAGATGAGAAGGAAAGAAAGCCAGAGGGAAACCTAATTATATTAGATAACCAGGAACGCTGAAACGAGCTCCATTTATCTCAGAAGAACATAAAGAAATCTAAGGGAGTCAATTTAAATATATTATCTGCCTGCTGCTGTTTCACCTGTTGCTAACAGATGCTCCATACAGAGCCTGTAGTGAGAAAAGGACCATTACATGTTCTCCTTTCAGGAACATGGGGTAATGGTATTGAGGGTGAAAGAAAATATAAAAATATGGCATTTCATCAGGGCTGGGTTTTTGTGTTACTAGCTAAATGGGCTAGGCAGAGCAAAAGTTCAGCAAACATTTGTTGAATAAATAATATGAGTAAGCCTAAACCTTTTAGAAATCTATGGCTCAACAGAGGCTACTATAACCATGACGGCTCAATAGCAGTAGAGGAGAGAAGTAGTGTGAGGCCGGTTACTGGAAACCTTCTCTGCATTTTTTTCCACCAGTTTTTCCACCAAGTGGTTGCATTTACCTTTCATGCACCAGCAACATGCATTCGGCCAGCGACTTTTCATGTCTTATCACGCATTTTCCATATAGTTCATGTTTCTCACATTTCTCCACGTAGAATGTAAGTAAATAAAAAAAAAGGATTAAGGGAATAAAAGAAAACATTCAACCTTCCAAAGACAAACAACCCTCCTAGCTGACGGATGTCAAGAAAATGTAACCTAGATTCTACTAACTTGCTCAAAAGTTTCTTTCTTGAAGCTTTTGTTTGCTGTTTTAGTTTGGGGACTCTGTGATTACCAAGCTGTTCTCACAAATTTAGATCACCAAGTTTCACAATAAAAGGGAGTGATTCAAAGGCACAATGTAACTTCAAAGCCTTAATTCAAAGTTTAAACTGTTTAGTGAGCAACTGCAATGTTTATATATAAAAACTTGGTAGGAGAAAGCAGGATAGAGTAAATCTGTACCAACAGATTATGTGTGACATTTGGGGGGAATCTGTAGTAATTTATATCCCTCATTAATTTGAATTTTATCTATTTTTTCATCTTCTATGATCCTAATCATTGTTAGACTAGAAAGAAATTCTAGAAAGAAATTCGAATTGATTATAAGAAATTAAGTAAGAAGGAAGCATTAGATTAGGAACTACCTTTAGTACCATATTTTACAAAGTTCAATGTCTTTTATAATCAACAGTCTCCATCTTTTAATCATTCAGGTAAGTGACTCATTTTTTGAACCAAATAATTTCTATGCTGCAAATACATATCAGAGTTGAATTTCTTGATCAACTGGCTAAAAATACCACATAAAATTCACCCACTATCATTATCAAACACTTCTTGGTTTTCATCATTATGGTATTGAGTTCTAGCCTACATAGAATATTCTAACACATCCAGAAACACATTTGCTGCCATGCTGATAAAGCATGATTGCAAACTCAACAGTTATCATTCACAATTCTTCTTCCATAATAATAAACCAACACAGTCACTCTCATGACCATGCAATATCCTACAAATTATAAGCCATATTCATAAGACATGACTTAGCATTTAGACAGTGCTTATCATTTTAGGTTTTCTAAATGCTGCCTATGTGTATTATTTATGCAAGTACATGACTGGTGTAAAAAGAGACAGATTTCTTCTTCCAAAGATAGCCATTTTCTGAATTGCACTGAAAACTTAGAGTCCTTAAGATTATAAACACCATATTTCAGTCAAATTACTATTGTGTTGAGCTCACTAGTCAGTCTGTCACAAGTAAAAACAAGAAGCTATTTTATGAAAACACATGCATTTACTCAATGTACTATTAGATGCTGAAGACAAGTGTAAAAATGAATCCAAATCAGCCCTGAATTTTTGGCTCTCACAGGCCAGTGGAGAAGAGAGACATGAATACAATCTGGCGTATCATAGACCTATTATACCCAAACTTTGGGTGTGTGAAGGGTGCAAAGAGACAGAAGGGAAAAAATGTTCAGGATCAGAGTTACAAAAGAGTTTGCATTGTGTGTTCAGAAAGAGTAGGTTTTTTGCAAGTGGCTAGGGAGACAGAGCAAGGTAGCCCCACCTTCTAAGCTGACACAGCAACACCTGAGTTACACTGAGGCTTGAATGAGCCTGAAGAGGGAGAAAATTTCATGACAAACTTTACTGTTTTTAGTTAAAATTGCAGACTTAATTCCACACACCATTTGAACCAGCACCAGCATTTTTAATTGAGAGCAGAGAAATCCCAAGCCAATTCAAATTATAAAAGCAAGCCTGGCAAGATTGCTGGTGGCTGCTGCTCTGTTTCCCTGACTCCAGAGAAGGGATGGACTTCTGCCCTCCTCGCTCCCCATGCACCTGTTATAGCGCTGTGAGATTGCACTAAGATGAGTTATTGATGCCATTTGACTGTTTCTGCTTCCTGTGCTAATATTCCTGTGCCACTCTAAGATTAAGAAAAATTTTAATTATTGTGACTCTATTTGGCAGTGCATTTAATGTTCAATAGTGTAGACTGTGAAAAGACTCCCAGTGTTAGCAATGGGGTAAGGGTAGCAGTTTCTTGGAAGAAAAGACAGAAATTCCACAAGGGTTCAGATTACTCATTTTATCCAGCCAGTTTGCCAGCCAGCCAGCCAGCCACCCAACTATCATCTATGTTTCTATCATATATCAATCATCTCCATCTTTCTATCATCTATATCAATTTATCATCAATCTGTTATCGATCACCTTTGACTCTAACTAACCACCTACTTTCCCACCGACTTACGTGATTTACACATATATTTCATATAATAAAAATGAACAATATAGAAGTATCTAAGAGGTCACTGGCTGCCTTAGTTCCCAATCCCATTTATTTTCCATAGGATGTGATTTCATGTGCATGGCATAAGTTGTTGAGGCTTACAAGTCTTAAGTCAACACTTTACTATAAAACATAACAACAGGGGCCTCCCTAGTGGCACAGGGGGTTAAGCACTGAACTATGAAGCAGTCCGCAGCCTCTGCAGCACAAGTTCAATGCCCAGCAGATCAGGGAGAAACCCACATGGTGCAGCAGACCTCTCCTGACTCACCTGCTGCTCCCCTCAGCAGTGTACTTCGGTCAATCTGCCTGTTCTGTTCCCTGCTCTGTCTCTGGTGGACCTTCTCACCTCTTACATCTCTGGCCTATATCCCAGCTCTTGTATGCATAAATAAATAAATCTTCAAAAAAATAAAAACACAACAACAGACAAAAATGCTTAAATTGTTCCATGCTGTTAAAACTCATCTGTTTCCCAAATTTTAAGACTCTCCTCTGTGTTTACAGGATCCAAATTAGCGGACTAGAGCTTCTTAAAATGCCTGTGCTAACTATCACTGCTGCTTCTCTTTTCTCTCTGGTAACCTCACATTTGGTAAGTTGCCAAATCAACATCTGGTTAAATCAAATGTTAGACTTCAACCTGATGTGTTTATGCCTCATCTCTTTCCAGTAATGGAAAAACCCTCCTGATACAATGTGTAGAAGAAATATTGAAGTTGGGAAGTGGCTTGTTGGAAAATGTAGGAGATGAGGTTAACAAAGCACAAAGAACTTAAATGGTTCAAGGAAAGAATGCTTAGTTTCTACAGGAGTTCTACAGGAGTCACACACAGTTAAAAAATGTATACACGGAAACACACACAATCTTACCCTCCAAGATAAGTGCAAAATGAATTAAATTTTTGCAGCTAGCATTCAGGTTTATATTCATTTAGTAAATTTGTGAACCTTCCACGTAACTTTTCATAGTATTTTCACTCTGGATTAAAGAGATGATGGAGATGTTCAGACATCATTAAATATATGTGAATGAATAAATAAATAAATGGTGCTCAAAGAATTAAATAAGGCAAATAAGGGTTTTTAAGAGATCAAAGGAATGCATGACAACCTCCTCTATCAGAGACGTCAATATATGCTGAATATCAGTCACATCAGAAACAGAAGCTGGAAGATTTTCTGCTCTGATATTATTTCCCCTACAATATCTTCTGTGCTTCTTCTAGCCTTTTCATACTCTTTCCTTTCTGGAGTTGCTTTGTGAACATTTTAGCATCACAGCACTTCCTGTGAGATGTCAAAATATTCCCACTCTGTATTTACTCTGCCTGAGTCAGTGTCTAAACCTAATACATCTCAGGTATCATTTGTTTGACACTTCAACCTTCACTACACAATGGTTCCTAATATTATTATTAAGAAATGGCAGGTTTCTTTTAAGTCAATACTAATTCATCAAAACACAAAAACAGAAAATCAGATGACTTAGTAAATATTTCAGAACTACATATATAAAATATCCCAGCTCTTTTTCCTGGACTTCCTGTCATAACATTCATACCATTTATGAATAATAGTCCAGAGCTGGTGTTTTGGAGTAGGGCTGAAAAACCGGCTATCTTAGACTCACATTTTAAAGGTATCTACGTAGTACTCAACATAAAAAGACTTGAGCTACAATTTTGGCAAAATGAAATGAGCCAACTACCATTAAGTCACTTAGAGTCGAGATATTACAAGTTACAATTGCTCCCTCTGAAGGGTCTCACGCTGACCGAGACATCAACCTTCAACCTTTGCAGAGAAGTGGAGGATTATAGCTGCGAACACGACCCTGTGGTCTATGCAGTATCAGAAGTAAATAGATTATAGGCATATTGAAACAAATGACCTCATTTTGATATCTTCTATCTCATCATCTCTGTAGGTGAAAGTAGAGAACTTCAAACTTTTGTAATGTTTCTTACTTCTCCATATGGGTCTATCTCTCCCTAAAAGCTGTTCAGTGTTCATCAGGTCTGACAAAGATTGTGTTTGACCTAACTAGTTGATTTCCAGTTTACAAAATACCTGTGACTTCACAATAATGGGCATGGAATTAATATACTAAATAATCAGGGAACTTTTGTACTAAAAGGAAGATTGTACTTTCTCAGGATGAAAATAATTTTTAATTGAACATTTCCAGATAGAATAAAATAAAATCTATCAAGAGGTTTGTAGTAGAGCTTTTGCAGTGCTTTGGCAATATGTTTTCTTAACCTAGAGCAAACAAATGCTATGAGGTTAAAAGTATGCATATGGAAATAGCTTCATTCCCCATCAAGTTCATTTGCATAAAATCTGCAAACTATACATTTGGGAGTCAATGGAGAACAATGTTACCTCTCATAATTTCCTTAGTTTTGATGTTTAGTAGCAAAGCAGCCAGGATATCAGTGTACTATTAGCCTGGAGATGTTTACTTCTCCTTTCAGACTCCTGATATTAACAGAATATACCACTGCAATGACTTCTGTCTAGAGTAAGCAATGAAGCAGTTGCTTCCTCAATAGCCAGACTCAACACCCTTGACATTGTTTTAAAGGAGCCTGTCTTATTTTTTCAACATTTAAAAGTTATTAACACATTATCAATTTTTAATCAATGATAAATGATAAAGTCCCTATATGCACAATATTTTAATATATGACAACATATGAAATATAATTACTAGATAATATATACATTAAGTAGTTAGTAGTGTCTGGCACTATCATCATAATCATTATTTCTACTG